CCCCCCCCCCCCGTCGTTGTCGGTCACACCGCCGTACCATGCGCTGATCCATCGGTAACACATCGTCAAGCACTCGTCTCGTGCACCTCCCCCCGACCCGTACGCATCGACTCAAAAACAGGTGCGATAACTCAAGGAGGGATTGCGAAATGAGTAGAGGATGTGGAAGCTGGTTTCTTTGCTATAAACACTCTCGGTTGGCGTGGTCTAGCTTGCGACGCGACACACGTCAGACCTCAAACGTCATGTTCATGCGTGCGCCCACCTCTCCGCATTGGTTTGTTCTGTGTGTATACACCGGAAGAGAGCAACCGCGTGTTGTAAGCAAGAAACCCTAGCTAACAGTAATGGAGCCTGATCTCTCACGTACGTGAACTCTTCTTTGTCTATGCCGTGCCGCCGTGATTAGCTATGACCGCTGTGCTGCCTTCTGTCGAACTAGCCCCACAGGACTGTTAGTTTTTCAGTCTCGTGCACTATGCACGGATCTACTGCTGTACACTTCCTCTTCCAACACAAAGCCACGTTGTAGAATGTCTACGACGAAGCGCTGAGTAGCTTCGTAGCATCACCCAGTATCCATCAGCGCACCTCATTTCAAAATTTCCCCGTACCGTCTTTTGGTGTCGCGTACCAACTCCAAAATCGTCGTGTCACTGCTGCTGTACCACGAGTCACCTATCCCCCCGCGTTCTGCGTCAACCTCTCCCTCCAAGCAGACACACACACCATGCGATCCATCGGGGCACTGCTGTTCTTCCTTCCCTTCACCTCGGCCTTCCTGGCGCCGACGGCTTCCCTGCCGCGTAGCGGCCGTGCCACCTCTCCCTTCGTAGGGGGAGTTCAGGCATCGTCACAGCAGCAGCAGCGACTGCATGCGAGGTCATCGTTGACCATGGTCGAGCAAGACATTATTTACGGGGGCCTGGTGGCTGTGGCGGGGCTGGCCGTGGGCGCGGGAATGGTGGCTCTCACGGAACAGGCGGGGGTGCGCTCGGAGGAGCGCGGAGCGTTATCGTACGAGGTTAGTTTTTGTTGTCAAGGATTTCTTGTGCGTTTCGGCAGTCCATGGTTGCTCATGATGCACCACTCTTGAAACTATCAGAACTACCAACAGCATAGGTCTTTCTCTTACTATCTACAGCAGCAGTTCGAAGTAGAACACAACAAGCTCATCTCTATCGACAGACAATAGAGCCCTGGATTGAATGGCAATGTGTTTCTACGATTCCCCGAGCAGAGTACTTGTAGCTTCGAAAAAACAAATAACGACGGAGAACTCAGTGAGTCCCACAGTGAGTCCCACATCAGATACACAAGATCAGGTGGAAGTGTTGCGCAATACATTCCGGTCGTTACCGCACAGAGCAGAGGTTGGTCGGGGCTTGCCTCCACCAGCGTATCACGGAGTCTACCTCCGCACACCTATTTTTAGCCCAAGAAGAAATATGCCACGAGTCCAGATTCCAGACGAAACAGGCGGAAGTAATGCACTCCCTTCGCGTTTCGAGTCCCAACGTAAGCATCGTAGAGGACAGAGGCGACATGCACATTGGTACGGCTAGGTCTGGTGGCTGCACGTGAGGTCCGTTCCACGGTATGGGACCGGCCCCCCTATTCTTGACCCCCCTCCTCCATGAACTTATGAGACGTCGGCCAACTCTGCGATGATGGAGGCTCGGTCTGCTTGATGCGCCCAATCAGAGGAGTTGGATGAGTTTGCCGTTGTGTCACCACTATGTGGCTGAGCGGCAAACTCATCCACCTCCTCTGATTGTGCGCAACAAGTAGGCGGAACTCTCGATCATAAATTTATTGCCCAACGTCTCGGGGGGGGCGGTCCCGCACCCTGGAACTGACCTCCAGTACCGACCCTCGTGGGGCCATGAAGGCGGCCGCTGCGGTGGACATGTCAGGGAGCAGCCGATGTGAGGTAAAATGCAAAGAGGCTGGAAGAGCGGGCATTTTGCACTCGTTTAAAGTTTGTCCCTTGGTGCAGTGTGCGTGCTACCAAAATCGGGCACGCTGCCACAAGAAATGCCTGGCTCCTTGAGGTCAGGGCTGTTGACGCTTTCCAACTGCTGTTGCTGGAGCAGCCCGGCCGAAAGCTTCGGTTCGAAAACTCCGCAGCATATCTGTTGGCTCGTACCATGCACGATCCACTGCCGTTCGCACCGCCACAGAACCAACCAATTCCCCGAACTGCTGGTCGTCTAGGGCAGCCAGTGATATGAGCTACTGCTGCTGTGCACCCACACATTTCAGGAGGAACGGGTCTGTGACGGCGTGTTGCGCAGTGGGTCGTGTGTGGTATGGGCCCAGTCTTGGGGGACTTTTCGGAACCCAGCCTAGGCATTCGACTACGCGGCCCCAGTATTCAACAGATCTAGGCATGCCAACACGCATGTTGCTGCTCCATGAAGCCCTCCGCTGGTCAAGATGGTTTTGTTTGTGATTCCGCGTACGGGCCGCGCTGACTGCTGCTTATCGATGTTGAGTGCGCGGAACCGCGAGCGGGAATGCGAGGCATGAGAAACAACGTGTTCTGTATGTAGCTCGGAGATATCAGTGTGCACACGAGCGTTTCGGGCTTTCAGTCAAACCATGGCTAGGTTGGTTTTTAGTCAGAGAGTATTATTCAAGTTGTGTTCAGGAGTTCGACAATATGTGCTCTAAAGTACTGCCAAATCGTTGCACGCCGCTATTTTTTTCGCAAGCGTTGCGTCTGGGTTGAGACTGGCCAATGCGGAGTACGAAAATAGCCCGTGTCTACGATGTCTATCTGCTCCACCCAACTTGAAACGGTTTCATGAATCGTTCCCCGTCTCCTGGTGGCATCCGAGCGTGATTGCTCATTCATGCCGTCCCGTTTTTTTTTGTTTTGCCGTGTTGCTCAGAGGAAGATGAAGATGCAGGCCATGTTTATGGAGGACGACGTTGTCGAGGAGACGAACGTGGATGACGTGCGGTACAACATGCGCAAGGCTCTTCGCGCCAACCAGGTGACCTAAAACTGTGAATGTAGTTGCAGGTGGATCATCGTGCTGTTCCATTACCAGATGGATCCTCTTATATTTCGACAGGAGCGGATCATCATGCTGTTGCGTTAGCAGATGGATCCTCATGGCACTCCATTTCATTATGCGGCTCAATTCGGTGCCATTCCCATCCAACCTTCGATTGCGGTGATTGGAAACTCACGAAGATGCCTGCTTGAAAACAACATCACTGTCGCTGCAAGACCACCCGTTCGAGATATACCCCGGTTAAAGGCATGGGTGGATTAAGAAACCTTTACAGCAGTGAATGAGAAAGGAACCTGGTGGATACTGCTGTGCGTAATTTGAGTCTGTTTAAGCCTATTCGCTGTAGGATCAGTGGCGCTTATCTTATCAACCTCACACACCGAGACTTCAAAACAACAATGTCTGAATGAATTATTGGAACGTCAGGTAAATATCTCGTTGCTTGTGGTCGCCGTATATTATCCCACCTTCACGCTTGGAGAACTTCCTGCTGAGAGAGGCGCACCTGACGTCACATAAATACAGCGCGCGCCCTTCCCGAGCGGGAAAACGGGATCACGCACGTTCACTTCTTTGTGCTGCTTTTCTTTTCCCTCCCTCACGCAACGCGTGGCGCCCCCAACCTCTCTGTTCTCCTCCCTTCAGACGGAAGAAGAATTGTTGGCGTTGACGGCGGACGCGAGGAAAAGGGCAGAAGAAGAGGCCGATGATGGTTGGTAAACCAATACTAAATAACAAGGAGGGAAAGGCGGCGGAACTATGTTATTTTGTAGGATTGTGGGATGGCCGGGGAGGAACTTACGGCGACAGGAGTTGTGACGACGAGTAGCACTGGGGATGTCCGGGGCCCAGGCACCTAGGAATAAGCCAGGGAGTTCGAACGGGTTGGTTGCTACAGGATGGCCGGGAAGTTGGTGGCGGTTATGTCTGTCACGAGGTTATCCATATGCATGTTGTCCGAGTGGCTTGCTACACAGCGGTGGGAAGTATAGAGAGGGTTTGTATTTCGGTGATTTTTCTATCCATTCTATCCTCCGCGTTGCCACAGAGTAGTGTTTCGCTCGTTGGTGTTCACACGCTCAGCAATCCATGCCTTACCGGCACGAAGGTCGTGTTTAGGATGGGATACGACGTGGGAGTTTGGTGTAGATGCGCGTAAGTGTGTGTCGCACGCGTTTAGCAAACCTAGAAAGTGTAGTGTAGAAGGCTCTTGGTAGGGGCCCAACGGCCAAATGACGAAGTTTTCGTTTGTTGTGCGGTGTGGTGGTTGATGAAAGGTTCGTTCGTTTCTTCCGTCTTTTGACCAAGGGTACCATGGCAGGACCAACATTAAACAATTCATTGATACAGAATCACACCGTCGGAATGGTTGTACCATGCTGAATAAAAGAAGAGGAAGTTAACAAGAATGAAGTTGAAAAGTGGCTTTCCGAGGGCACCGGCACCCACGTTCCAAACCACCGTTTATCTCTCGTGCATGACAAACATCGCAAGGCCCACCAGCAGTGTGACCGTGCTCTCCCCCGCTTAGCTTGTCGCACCATCACTCACCTATTGTGCTTGTTGCACCGTGCACTCAGCCGTTCCAAAAGTCTAGGAAGATCTAATAAACTTGGAATTAGCCGCCCAGACGAGAAACGGAACAACGCTTGGCATCACTTGGACCGGAAACAAAAAAAAAGGGAAACACCCACACGTCTCGTCCAGAGTTGAGATGAACCCTACAGTCGACACCCCGATGCATCTCATTTTAGCATGGCCTTACGCCATCGTAGCCTTGACTCCGCATCACTTGGTTCTCTCTGCCACCAAGTGTCAATCCAATGCAGTGGCGAGAAGTGGTGAAACCCAATCCCATTCCCCCCATCAACCCACGGCATGTCTGGTTTGTCGCAGCAAACTCAAGGAGGATGACAAGCGGGTACATCCTTCAAAACGTAGCCTGGGCTGGCGACAACCCGGCAAATCGCTCCGTCCCGGCATTGTGGGGAGGCGATGTCAAATTGGTCTCACGACTACGGCATGCGTTTACATCAGTACAGCCCCCTACCCAACTACCCTTCCGTTCGTATGCCGTTTCAAGAGGGACCTTGTGGTGCCATCCCGTCCTGCGAAGCCCTGTGCGTTTTAGCTAGAACAGTCATTCCGAACCCCGTTGTACTCGCAAAACCCACGCTCATAACAGGAAAGGCCTTCAGCCTTCCAATACCCGCGCTGGAGATCAGCAAAAATAGAAACAGAGCTCTAGGTTCCGTGTGCAGCTTTCCAGGGAAAGCCCCGAGAAACAACATGTCCAAATCGAGCATCCGTGTCGGAACATCACCCTCACTGCTGGGGAAAAAACGATTTTGTACCAGTAGCTTCTAAACCAGGCCTCCTGTGTGGGGCGTCCTAGCCCTGACTTGCACCCTTTGGAGACAACGCTTCCAAACCGTCCATCCTTATGGTCTCCCTCTCATCCCCCGAATGAACGGCAAATGAATACATCGACTGAGCCCCGCTTTGCAGGCGTCCTAGTCCTATCCCTACCTTCGGAAGGAATGTTCCAAGAATTTCCAAGACTCCATCCTTCTCTCAAAATTCGCTTTTCATCCCATCGCGCTTGAACAACATTTGATACATTTCTTGGCTGTCATCACCCTAGCAAGCATTTGATACATTCCGGGGTGGGGGCGGTGCCCGCCTTCGCGAGCGTCCTCTATATAGCTCCTTAACCTTGGCCCCGGGAGAGCTGAAACCTCTCCAGCGCCCCCGACTTGTAAGCCTCCACGAAATCCCTGATCGTCGTTGCGTTTACGGGAGTTGATATGCCTCCTTGCGGGAGGTGGTACGCCCCATTCCCTTGGATGTTGACGATAATCATCTTGGTGAAAAGAACAGAAGTGGCGGGGGAGGGGGGGGGGGGGAAGGTCACAGTACAGTAAAAACACAACCCAGGGGGGGGGGGCTCGGCGACATTGACAACGGGGCGGTGAAAAGACTAATCAGAGCCTCTTCGTGCGGCACTAACTGGGTCACAGAGAACGGAACAAGGGTTTGGACAACAAGGACCGAGAGAAGCACCAGCCATGCTCCCCGCGTCATTTCCAACTGCATTCCTGGTAAAGGTGATAGAAGAATCGCGGCTGGAGCCGATTAGGTTCGCCATAAAACCAATGTCAGCGCTCGATGAATCCCCCTCCACTCCGCCCGTCTCTGCATTGTAGGGACGCGAGGTCAATGGTCCAACGACAACGGCATGCGTTTACACGAGCACACCCTCCAATCCGCACCAAGATGCGTCAACCTCACAAGAAATACGCTCTCAACAAGAGGAGAAGCACATCGCACTGGCCGGTACCTGGGGCGAATCGGGTACTGTCTTGAGGTCGCACACGTTGCGGACTTGTGTCGGCAAGCTGGCCTCCGACTTCACCGTGAAGAATATCAACGCTGGTTGGCCACCGTTGGCCTTCGCAGCCTCCGCCTCCGCCGTGGCGATCGGCAGCAGGGCTTCTTCCACCTGTGGATGCGAAAACACGACAAAAATACAGGCAAAAGCACGTAAGACAAGATTATGGGGGGTCCAGTTATGCCAACAACTGGGGGAGGATATCAAATTCCCGAAAGTACGTGCCGTATTCGGTCTATTCCGGGACCAAGATCAGCGCTGCTATTCCATGAACGACACCCGTCAAAGTCTCAACTCGGCTTCAAGCAGATCTCGTCCGCACGACACAACGACTGATACTTTTCGCCAAAAGTCTTGATTCCAGAGCTAGGGACACCCCCTACCGACGAGTGGCTGCGCCGGTCCATGCCGTGCAGACCACGTCGTGGATACCCACACGGGCTCGAAACAAAAACGACAAAAACAAGAACAACTATGAACGGATAAAGGCGACAAAAGCAACGACCACCCAGGCTCTCACCTCCTTTTGATCTACGTCGTCGCAGGCCTCCATGAAGATAATAAGCGACGGCATCTCCTGCACGTGGAAGCCGTTGCTCTGGCTGTTCACCGAGAGGTCTTCCACGGCCTTCGGCCACCACGGGAACTCCAGACCCTGGGCGGCGGTGTCGCAACGCACGCACACACACACGGTCCAAGTTACATGGCATACAAGTGTTCTGTGTTTTTCAACAGCACAGAGACTGACGTCGTTTCATTGGTCAGTCGGTTAGCGCGGTCGATGCTAATACTAAAAAACACACACACCAACAGCGAATATGTGTGTATGCATGTTCGAGTCAGCAGCTACGTGGTAGGCTTGTTCCAGTTAAGAGCACGGTTGAACAGCAACACAGGCTGAGCCACAACGTGTCGTGCTGTTTGAAGCAGGAACATGAAAACGACATCCACGCGCTTCAAGGACGCCCGAAAGAGCATCGCAGAGAGACCCAGCTCGTCCGTGACCTCCCATACACCCAATTCTGTGCGGTTCGGGTCTGCTACGCTAACGGTCAACCTGCCGCACCTTTGCGTCAGCGATCGCTGCCCCCTTAGCTGTCTGGTTGATCACCACGCCGTCCCGGTCAATGGTGGTCAGGGTTGGGATGCCGCGTACCCCCAACCGCGTGGCAAGCGCCCTTCTCCTGTTGACGTCGCCGAAAGGGATCGCGGCCCACGGCATCTCCCGGAAGTATCTACCGGCGCAGCAATCAATGGCAACAAAAAAAAAACTGAGCTCCACAAATGTGCAAGCATGATCTATCCGCACGCTGCTCTCCGGCGGTGCTAGGCTCCATGCGCTTCTTCCAACGGCACGGGGAGTGAACCAACTGCTGCACAAAAGCACGAGGTATGCCAACTACACACCTTACCCGAAAATGACGGCCATCAAACAAATATCGTAAACACTCTCACAACCCCCGTGGGAACAAGGTGTGTTGAACTCACTCGTCGAACTGCGCCTGGTCTTTGTCTGAGCTCACGAATATAAACTCAACGTCATCGCTTCCCGCCCTCTTCTTGAGGTCCTTGTACGTCTGCACCAGGCGTGGCGTGAAGGCTCGGCAGGGAGGGCACCTGGCCAAAAGAAACAACAACGCCAACTTTTCCTTCGTTGCAAAACATGGGCGTTAGATTCGAACCACCATAGAAAAATTGCGCTCGTACCAGAAGTTAGCGGCGGAGCTCAACAAGTTTCGGCATGAACTTCAAGGTATTACAATATACACTTGAGGTCACTATTCTCTTATGGACAATGCGCAATTGCCCCATAAACGTCTTTCAAACACATACCAGGTATTCAATAGAAAAAACAATACAACACGTGCTGTAGTCTAGCGGATGAGCTGTGCACCTTAACACGCATAACACTGCTTCACCACTCACCAGTGCGCGGAGAAGTACAGGGCCAAGGTTTTGCCGCGGACGACCTCCTCCCCCGCTAGGGTCCCGGGCTTGGTCACAAACTCGGTCCCGATGAGCTCCGAGAGAGGTTTAGGCCTCCACGGGAAGTCTTTGCCCTCAGGATCGTCGCCCACCACCTCGCGCCCGTCCGGTGTGATGACCGAGCCATCGTGGTCCATGATTACCAGGGTGGGGATGCCGCGAACCTTGAACTTGGTGCTCAGGGAGGATTTTCTCTCCCTGTGGGTTGCGGGGGCCGGGGGGGGGGGTGCAATGAGCCCCAAGGGGAACGAAGCGCTGCCCTGTTTCATCAATTGTGTTCGTTCGTGGAGACAAGGGCATTGGTTGACTATTATAGGCTATATTTTCGTCTTATCGATAACGGGACCTACACCATCATGGCGGGGTCGAGGTGTAGAGGTATTGTACGAGTATAATACATGACATGGACCGAAAAACCATGCAAGTGGGCTGCACGGCAATCAACGGACTTGTGTGGTACGCCGCATGAGGGGCCGCAAACCAATCCTGCGCGTAACCATGACTATGATTTGCCCGTCATATCTACGGAACGATCACCGCTGTCGAACAACATTTAACGATTCGTTCAGGCTGCCACTCGTCTCTTGTGGGTATTCCGCAGTAATGCTGCAGGAGCTCCTTTTATATCTGGACAAACCGTTACAACCCTTGCACACATGAACTGCTGTAAAAGCCAGTCGACAGCAGTCCGGTTCTTGACTAATGAATTAATTACCATGCATGTTTTCGAGGAGTACATTTGATTACAAAAAGCATTCGGTTCCTGAGTCTCGCGTACTCCAGAGTCCAATGCACAGGTTGTTGGCACTATATACTGAAGGACAATCCGAACACAAAAACCGCCACCATGCTCTTCATGCTGCTGATTGAATTGTGTCTCTTCACGGCAAGCAACTGTTACTCAAGTACTTGTAGTCTACTGATTGATGTATGCGGTCCGTAACCTAGTCTACCTTTGTATGAAACTTAAGAGCTTCGGCGGGGGAATTCGGAGCAGAACGCGTACGCATCAAAACGTTTCCACGCAGCAGAGGCCCGAGTCTGCCGTGTACCACAGGTGGATCCCAGGAGAGCGTCTGCACGGAGTGAGAACGAGGCCGATCACAAGTCTGAAAATCCCCAAAGCCATGATGCGACGCGGTGTTATCGGAACCGTAAATATTGTCGTTGCACACTCACCTGTCGGGGAAAGGCAGCGCCAGCCACGGCATCTCCTTATGGTACCTCACAAAGTCATCCTCCTTCCTGTCGGAACCGATGAGCACCACCTCGAACTCCTTGCCCGCTGCGCGCACGGCGTTATAGGTCTTCACCAGCTGCGGGGTGAATCCACGGCATGGCCCACACCTGGTTATCGCGGCGAGAAAACATGGGGGAATCCATCAATTCTTCCGGAAAAAGGCATGTTCGATCTGGACTGAAAAGCAAGGCGCCGTTTCCACCACGCGCCAAGTTTCGTGACCGTGACAGGGCGGCGCGACGCCGGGGGTGGGCTCATCGCGGAGAGCACATCTGCCCGAACTGGTTCCGCTTCGAGGAAAGCTCAAGGCAAAATACAAAACAAAAATAGACTAATTAAAAAAAAACACGTCAGCACAGGACGGAAGTTCGAAATTCACGTGTGCTACGCACCAGCTGGCGGAGAAGTAGAAAGCGACCACCTTTCCTTCGAGGGCCGTCGCCGTGGGGATGTCGTTCTCGGTGGAGTCCTTCAGCAACGGCCCGAGAAGTTTTTGGAACGTCATGATATGCCGGCAGGTGTCGGGTTGCAGTATTCGAGGTTGCGTTCTCTCTTTGTTGTTGCTTCTCGCGTTTCGGATCAGCCGCGCTCCAGTCGTTGCACTTCTTCTCTCGCTGCCGCGGCAAGCTGACTGCTGCGATTGTATTGAACTCTGCTCTCTCTCTCTTGTTCGAAAGGATGTGAGAAGCAGCGACTGCCCCCAGCAGCGGAGTTTGTCACAGGCAGAGCACCGGAGTCGTGGGCGCCACCACAACCGGCAACACGCACGTCGCGCGCCGTGAGAGACTCCGCAAAACACGAGACAGGGGGGTAGGGGCACCGTGGCATACATCTGACTGTGCGCGCGGCTCAGTGCACGCCCCATTCCCTACCACACTCCAGTGAAGTCTCAGAAGCAACAACAACGACAGGCAGCCTCCGCCGCCAACAAGCAGCTAGTCAAGACGGGAAACTCCAAGAGCAAGGGCAACATGAGCGAGCACGTTGAGTGAGTTTTAGAGGCGTGGGATGAGCGATGATTTTTAATTTTTGATTCCTCAGTCCGTAATGCCACGTCCCCCTGAGCACTCGAATGTTGAACATCAAGCAGACCTACAGCAGTAGGTGGTGCCTGACTGCAGTATGACTCTGGCATTGCTATCGTCTGGGAGACGTAGGCCGCGGACAGAATGTGAGTGGCATCAGTGCATTGCAGCATGACGCAGTAGATGGCACCCAAGGAACCGAGGGACTGCGGTTGTGAGCTGCACGCAGTAGATACCGTACCCGCCGAACGCAGAACGACAGCTGCGATGCTGTTCGCAAGCGATTGGATCATGGCGTCGTGCTTGTGATCTTCCACGAGGCCTCTGCTCCGATGTAGCCACGCACCAGGTGCTAGACGGCCGCAACCCCGGACGAGAAGCGTGTCTGTTGCTGCTGTTGTACTGCCGTAGTCGGTGTTGTGTAAACATGCCGGTGCTGCGGGAAATCTGCTCGTCATTTCTTCCCGAAAGCTCCGAAATCAAACTGATGTATCTGCCGACCCCGGTACACTCCAGACCAGCCCTGTGTGCGCGAGTGAGTTTGTATACGGGGAGCTATGCATTCCTACACTGGTAATTGCCTCGTCTTTCGTGTCGGCTTTGTTATCGAGGTACCATGTAAGTGCCATGTTAGTGTGAAAGAAGAGCCTCAGGATTTTGCTCCCGCGGCTGAAGGCTGTGCTGTGCAACCTGCGGCGGGCTGCGTGTAGCGTACAGTTTACCGTACGCGTGTAGCGTGCAGCAGTCATGTATTTAGGCCGAGTTTCTAGAAAATAAGTTTGGTTGACAATGTTCCGCAAGTATCCCCATCGTTTGTTTGCCCGAAATTCGCCCCCCTCACTCGTTTGTCTAGGGGTCATCACCTTCACCTTTCGACTGCGTGTGCTATTCGTCATTAATTTGAAATCCTTGCGCGTGTCACTGCTTTCCTTGAAGAGTGTAAGTTCGATTGGGTGGTTCGGCTACGGGTTCAACTTCCCGAGTAGGTTCAGATTGCCTTTCCCTTCCAGAGCTGCGCCATGCCCTCGCCGGATTGCTGTGTTGTGCGACCGGTGTGTCCTGCATACCAGGCATTCCGAGGCCTCCTCTGTCACCACCGCAAGAGATTTAAATGTTAATTGCTCAGCAACCACCCGTTGTCCCGCTGCACGTTTTCGGCTCGCTTGTCGTTCAGCGCCGTAAATGAAATGGTGGGCAAGCATGGCGTGGTGGTGTACTCTAAGTCGTACTGCCCTTTCTGCGCCAAGGCCAAGAAGGCGTTGAATGACGTCGGGGCCAAGTACGAGGTACGTGAGCGGAATGCACCAGGTATCAGGTACCGGCTCTCTCTCTCCCGTAAACACGAGAAAAAGTGCCTGTGGATGCACCGCGATTGTTTCTGCTGCATTACTAGTTCAATGTTGTTGCTGGGAAAGGAGTACCGCCGATGCTCAAGGCGGCCAACTACAATAGCTCTACTTGCGAGAGCAACTTGCACACACACGTTGACACGCCCAGCTATGTATCAGCCCGTGCCACATCTAGTTTCCCACACCCTGTTAACAAGTAATCGTACCATGACACTTTCTTCTCGGACACGAACACTGCTGTACATGGCGGCTAGCTGTCAATATGTACGACGAGTAGCTCGGGCAGGAATGCAGCAGTCGAGGCGTTCATCCGCCCTGCTGACACCTCTCTCGTACGTTTGCAACTCGCGCGCCGTTACATCGTTCGAGCAGCTTATCGAGCTAGACCAGGTGGACAACGGCAGCGCCATCCAGGACGCTCTCCAGTCTATCACTGGCCAGCGCTCTGTGCCGAACGTCTTCATCGGCGGAACGGTAGGATGCGGGCGGAACCGGTTACGGAGGGATGGGGTGGTTCGTGGGAGTAGAGCTTGGGTTATTTTTTATATTTTCGACATGTGTGAAAAGAAGGAATCGTCCTCGACAGACGTTAGGGGATTGTAGCCTTATGAAGGTGATCTCCACTTTTTTGTTTTTGTGCGGTCGAGGATGATTGTGTTGTGTTTTTTGCAAAAGAAGAAAAAAGTGTCCCGTCGGCAAAAGGCCGAGTGAGCAAAACAGAGGGGCGATGATCGGAGGATATATGTAGTCGCCATGGCTCACACCTTCAAGAATAGTTGATCCTTTCACAAGCACCATCGCAAAAGAAACACGTGTTGCCTCCACGAGCTATTAATAGGGGTATGTGCTTCGTTTGATAGTTTAACATGGACCACGCTAGCCTGTTGAATAAGGTCTGCCTCAAAGCGGGATGAAAACGGAAAGAACCCTGATGTGTGTGGAGTAAGTGTGTTTTAACTAGCATACGAACCGGCTTGAAAAAAAATGATAGTTCATCGGCCTTACAGCTGTACAAAAGAACATGAACATATCCTCTCTGTAGACGTTTGTTGTCCCTCAATTATTTCTGGACGCCATGTCATGCGTTTTGGCACGTTTTGGCGCATCAACCGGAGTGTGTTTTCATCGCCTTCCTTTTGCATCGCTCGCTTGAACTCGAAGAGTAGGGACACAGGTTGGTCATCACATAACGCTACGACCTCCACGCTACATTCTATCCCAGACTCATCGCTGTGGAAGACATGAATTAGTTGTTTTTGTAGGGGGAAAGAACACATCATAGACTCAAAACTAGCAAGAGTGTCCAGCGATAGCCGCCCCGCATCGCCCGCGAATCATTCCTTGCCCCTGCCCACCCCAACTCTTCTTGCTCTACTTATTTGTTGAATCTCCTCCCCTCCCCTGTTTGTTCCTTGCGCGTTTGCTCTTCTTGTCGGTGGCAGTCCATCGGAGGGGGAGACGACACGGTCCGGCTGCAGAAGTCCGGGGAGTTGTTGACGAAGGTCACGGCCGTTGGCGCTGTCTAAGGCGGCGTCACTCGAATGAATTTTCCGGCGTAAATTTTTGGCTGTTGTCTTGAGTACTCATAAGTGTGTTCAATCGCGCTAGGGTTACAATTTCCACGCACTCAGCACTGCTGAGCTGCTGAGGTGGAGACGGGGGGTCGCTGCTGGTGTTGGTGTGCGGATTGTTTTCGTTTTGGTTGATAGGGCAGACGAAAATGGCCTCGGCTGATAACCAGCCCATGGATGGATCATTCAGAAGTTTTTTTATTGACCTGCACAAGAGGTAGAAATGCGCGCTTGAACGTCGGTGTGATATGAACCCAGACGGTGGCTTCTAATCAGCGCGGGAGGCCTCTGCTGGTTAATGTATGGTCCTTGATTGCAGGAGAACAGTTTTTGCAAGAGATCGAGCCTAGAAGGCGGCTTCTAAACAGGGCAGGAGGCCTCTACTGGTCTGTGTATGGTCTTTGATTGTCGCAGAAGAAGATGCATCTCTGGGCTCCGCAAGCTACCGCCGTTGCTACCCACAGCTTCCCTGCTTCCAACGTCACCAAGAAGAGGTGTGTTTGCCCTGATGAGACCCGGGAAGGAGCAACTCGGGAACTGTTGTGGACCCCCGGTCGCGGCGGTTAAACCAGAAACGTTTGCTTCTGCTCGGAGAGGAAGAGTTGGGTAATCCTTCCTCATCCGCAGCGACGCTCCTCCTGCCTGTGGGCGGTCAGGTCCTCGGACTACAGGAGGAAGGACCGCCGAAGTCTTCATCATATCGACCTGCTGGAGGTGATCGTCTCCTTGTCCGCCGGTCTAACAATCCGTCCTGTTGCTCCTGCTCCTCCCCCTCCCGCTGCTACTGCTCCCGTCGATGGTGGACACTTCACTCTCACCGGGGAAGTCGGAAAATAGAGTGACAGGGAGTGACGGAGGCCCGTTGAGCCGGTGTCCCCTTCGCTGTGGCAGCTCACCAGAGGCCGCTTAGTTGCAGCGAGCTCTTCGCGGAAAGATTGTCACTTTTCTGCGCGGGAACCGACAAGCTGGTTGTCATCTTCATGGGTAAGGACTAGTATTTTTATTCTTTTGTTTGGTGGGTGTCTTTTCCTGCTCTCGCCATTATCTTGTTTCTCTCTCACTACTTGCGTGTGGGCAGAGCTTGGAATCTCTTCGTCGACGCCAATCAATGACTGTAAGGTCGTTCCCGTTATGTTTCGTCCAACAATCTGAAACAACAGCAAAAAACCCCGTTGGACTAGGTGTCATGTTCTCTCCAAACCTACGCAACCCCACACTACCTTTGTCTTGAGACACTGACAAGACGCGGTTGGCCGGGGGGGGGAGGTGTCGATGTGTCGAGTCTCGAGTCCACACAGCAGTCTACGATGTAGAGTATGCTATGTGCATCTAGCATCACGTCTCGAGGCTAGGGGCTCGGGGGGTTGGGGGGTTCCCAGAACGTTACGGGTTCCGCCGCGTTTCGTTTGCCTCTGCTCCCGCATCCTGCCCGCGCCGCGTTTCGTTTGCTCACGGTTGTTTTCCTAACAGGAGTTACCGTTAGAGGTTAGATACATGCCATGCGGACACCAGGAACTACAGCTCTCTTGTGGTCTTGTCTTCAGGGTGTGAACTCGTTCACGATCCCTCCACAAGCATTGGGCAAGACGGACAGGTAACCAGCTCGCCATGCTGTTGGGATGCAACAACAGCAGCATCTTTCTGCGCCCGTGTTCGCTTCGTCAAGACTCACGCAGAGACAGCAGGGGCGCCTGGCACGCACACCGTGGAAGGAACTATTTGTGTTCATGCCCGTTCGCCACAGGTTCCCAACCTAAGCACCGGGAACTGCTGTGCGGTACTGCTACTGCTTGTGCAGGTCCCTTTCTGCACCAAGCTCAGCTGCTGTCGTCACGCGGGTTGAACATGAAGATCGTACATGCCGTACCAGCAGCAGCAGGGGCAGCAGTAGCACACGCGTGAGGGCAAAGGGAGGTGCGGGCGAGGAAGAGGAAGGGGAAGAACAACAAGATATCATCGAGAAGTTTTTCAGGTGCGTCGTCAAGCACCAGGGGCCAATCGGGCGGCCTTTATCTTGTAGTTGCCCCGCTTCCTGTGCATGTGATGCGTCCTCCTTGTCATTTCACGCAGCCTAAACAACATGAGGGGACCCTGCAAAATACCTGGTTGCTGTGTGCACGGGGGCGAAATTTGGCATGGGATGTGTTACTTTTTTTGTGCTTGATCTCGGGGTCGTTAGTTATTCAACCATTGATGATCTTCCTGAGCGATGCGAGGGTGACCTTGGTTTTCAACAAAAGAGCACATGCAGCACAGCAGTGGCGCTTGCCGGCAGAAATTTAGGGTACCACACCCACACGACTGCTACTGCTGTATCCTCTTTATTTATGCTAGTATTTTTTACGGCTGCGAGACGGCGGGGTTGGAGCACGACGAAGGTTGCTTGGAGAGAAAAAAACACGCTCATTTATAGCTTCTCCGGTGAGAGGCATCGCTGGAGCGTTTGAGCTCTTGCATGTAATGTGTGGGAAGTCAGGCCCGTGGAAAAGTGTTGCCTCGTTACGGCCTCGTTCACCGGTCGCCTTGCCTAACAAGATGTTCATGTGTGACCTTTACCCCTGCAACCTGCTGTCCCGATCGCATGCCCAACCTACGACACGAAGTGAAATCATTAGCAGCAAGTTTTTTGTCTATCTGCCCTTCATCTCGGTTTAACTTTGAATAGCCAACCTTGATGGGCCGGTGTCAGCGTCGGAAGCCGGAGCTAGATGTCGCCGTTCTGAAGCACCCCTCCCCACCCCCCTGGTTTCTATGCTCCCGCCGTTTCCCTAACAGTGTAGTTGTACGCCGGTCACACCATGATGATGACAATTTCCCGTCGACGGTATGTAAACCACACGCTCACTGCAGCGAACTCAGCCGCATCACAACGCCACCAAAACAGCAAACGCAACAGTGTAGGCATAGTCAAGGCAGGCTACAGCAGCAGCAGCATGGCAGAACAAGTTTATGATTCGTGTGAACGTTAGAAGCGCAACTCTCGTAGCAACCTCGCTTGGTCATTGAGGTGTACCAATATGCAAGAACCGTTTTTTTGGCGAAGCTTCGACGGATACTAATAAACAACGTTTTCCTTGTCTTGAGTTTAATACTCAATCGCGCGAGACCTAGCTGTACGCGAGCTTGAGCGGTTACCCATCCGAGCCATGCCGATGTGCTACGTGTCAACCCATTGCTAAGAACAGCAGTTACGAGCGCTGAGAGCGTGCGTGCGTACCGGCAGCTATGCGTCTGTGTTTTGAAAGCAGTTACGCTATGTCGTATCTACAAGCGGGCGGAGGCCGCCAGATTCCTGTTGCGGTGACGCAGCAAGCGTGATTTGATTGGTTTGACGACATGACCAGACTCGGCTGCACGATATTCCGTTTGCTTGACGCCCTCTGGAAAGGCTGCCCCAGCGTGCGAAGACAGGTGGACGCTGGTACCTGTCGCCCCACCGCTGCTCTCCATAAACCCCGTGCTTGCCCCTGCTGCTGCTGCTGCTGCTGGTACCCTCCCCCACCCCCTACATTCTCTTCCCCACATGCAGCCTGTTTTTCGGGAACAAGGACGATGCGCCGGGAGGAGACCTGGATCGCATCACGGTCAAGAAGTTTCCGGACCAGTACCCCGCCGAGAAAATTCTCCAGGCAGAGCCGGTTAAAGGAGACTCCAAAGACATGGCCGTCATCCGGCCGCTGCTCAAGCAAACCGAGCTAGGTGTGAAACGCGAAGCCGCGGTTGTTGCGGTTTGTGCTGCTGCTGTTGTTGCTGTTGTCCTCACTTGGAAAATCTGTTCTGGTCTCTGCCCACTAGGACCTTCTATCATCCGTTGTAACGATGATCCCAACTGGGAGTAGCTTGTCGTGTAGGCGTGTGTGAATAGGGTATCGGCAACCGGCGGGCTCGCGACAAGGAGAAAGTTTGTAATATATTAACCTCGGCTCATCCTCTCACGAACACCCCGATCCGATGGCGAGGCGATATGCAATAGGGGTACGCCTAGGACACCCTGGAAATATCCATAGCACGTACCACACAATTTTCCCGGTATTCCGCTCTATCCTATTCCATGGGAACATACGGTACCATCCATTTGTCATTTTGCTACAAGTATCGCCATCATCCGTTCCGGTTTCAGCTCACGCGGACACCTTCCGTGGTCACAGCTCAACTACACAAAAGGTAACATTCTGGTAACAGTTTTTGTCAAACGCGTCTAACAAGCATCCCCAACGCGTTGCTAACAATTGATCCAAGACCCCAAACCCTTCTTTCATAAGGTCACGTGCGCAAACGACGGTTGTTCTGGTTGCTTTTTGTTCTGCTGGGCCGCTATGTATCTGGCATCTCCTTCTTGTGACAGAATTCCGGAAGCTCAAGCTGGTGTACGACGCGAAGCGAAACGGGTGGAAACCCGCTGCATTCCACAAGGGGGTGGATTTCAAGGGCCCCGCGCTCGTGGTGGGCAAAACCAAGGGAGGGGCCGTCGTTGGCGGGTACGTCAGAGAGCACAACGTAGGCTTCATAGGGTAAACCGCAACCCTCGGACCGAAGGTCAAAGCTCGAATGCCCAACAACTACGAAGACATGTAACATACTGATAAGTTTTCGGAAAGGTCTCGCCGAGAAGCTTCCAACGCCACCATTTACGGCACCGCTACTACAGTTGCTTTTCCTGCCGAGGAGTATTTGAGTTGTGAAAATCGGTCCAGGGTGTGTGACATCTTTGGTCCAGGGGGTATGATATCTTAGGTCATGTCACCTACGGCAATAACACGGAAGCACAAGGACGGGCCGCACGCGGCTGTGTAGACTGTAACAGGCGGCGCGTACGGAAGGAGCCTACGTCATCAATAACTTCCATAGTTTTCGATCGATTTGTTTCTTGTCAAGATGGTGAATTCCACACCCAACAACAACCAATCGCTGTGCTGGAATTTGTACAACATAAGTCTATCCGGTTGATGTTTTGTGTTTTCGGCAAGTGGCGAAGGTCATATTGTCGGTTTTCAAAGGACTCACCTCAACTCACGCAATGCGATCTAACCAAACCAACCACACACGCGTGTCCGGCGCAGGTACAACCCTAAAGGGTGGGTGGGGTACGGAGAGTACAGACCGGGCTTGTCGGCGTTCTTGTTCACGTGGCGGGACGGGGACACCACCAAGAGAGCGATGAAGCTCAGAAAGGTTTGCGACAGGCGTGTGGTGCGAAGCTCGTGAAAAACACTTTGGGTGCTTCGACGACAGGGGGGGGAGGGAGGTAGTGGGAGTTGGTGGTGTGGCTAATGGCCACGCCATGTCGCATCGGGCAGAGCACGCTTCCGTTTTTCGACGCGGGGGAAGGAGCACCGACCACAAACGTTGTCACAGATGTAAAGTTTTTTTCTGTTCTATCTTGTTTGCTTCCTCTTAGCGCTCTTGTTCGAACAGCTCCCAACATTCAATAAACCTTTTCGTTCGTGTCAATACTGGACAGATTAAAGGACCGAGTTGAATGAGTGTTCGTACGTGCGTTCTTCGGAGCTACGCGCCTCCCGTGGTCGTCACGATACCCCTCGCCCTGCCCCAAACCTACCGCTCAAAATAGGACAGCAGAGAGCACCCAAATATTCTCGGTACCTCCGTCTAGGAGAGAAAACAGTTATGATCCGCTTCGAAAGGGGCACATACGCCGTAGATGACCAAAGTGGCTTAGAGGCGAGTAATTGTGTCGTGCTCCACGACGGGTCCGTTGTTTTGCAAGCACTTCGCCAAGATCCGGCAGATGTGGAACGCGATTGCTTTGCTGTTCCGCCGCCGTTCGTATCCCTTCGATTGCTATTTATGTCTTCGATTTCGTCCTTCAGAGCGGTGGCGTGGCTCTGCGGTCGGTACACCTGTAAGACAACAGCACTCCCACGACATGACCAACACGCCCCTCCTCGTCCTCCTTGGTGGATCCTGATCAAACTCCGTGCGCGCTTGTTATCCTTCGGTTCCGCCGCTTACCGTGTGTGTCGACGGTAGATTGGGGGGGCGGGGCTCGCTGTCTGGGATAAGCCGGAGTGCGGCCCTCTGTTCGGCTCGGATGGTTTCGGGGTGGGGATGCAGAAGGGCTCGGAGCGAATGGGCAGGAGCAAGCTGGGCAGGTGTGTGTACGTGTTTTCTTAGCTACTCAAGCATCAACCGCGCTAGCCGGCTGGCCAATTGTATACGTGTGCGTGTTTTCTGATCCTCTGTGTTGCTATAATAGCGTCGACTGAGTAGCCGACTCCACCAATGAAAATGCGCCAATCTTAGTGCGAAAGCGTCATGGGAGAGGGTAAGCTTAGCAGATGAAGAGTAAATCACGTTTTTACGTGTGTGTGGCTTTGTTTTTCGTGTGAGCGCCTTGCTGTATGCAGGGCTCCAGCTACTTGTACTTGGCGTGAATGTGTAGAATTGTTGGACGAACTTCTTTGACTAGTGTAACTATTGGCCTCCCGATGGGGGGAATATCAAGGCACCATCGAGGCCGCTTCTTGACGAGCCTTGGGGGGGGTGGTACCTCAAGGAAGAAAGGGGAGGGGGGTTGGTTGTCATGATAGTCTCGGTGCTTCATGCTTCTGTATCATACGAACCGGCCTGTTCTCTTTTGCTCATGGCGGAGGAACTTTTCACCAATATCACGATTGATGGGAAGCCTTGCCCCCGTCCTCGTCGCCCACTGCTTCGGCCGCCGGTATGTTTTTGCGATGCCACCCGAGTAGCTACTACGAGCGGCTTCCTGCTGCCTACGGAGGGTCGAGCATCTTCGCTCCGGGAGACAACGGCGGCATCGCGGAAATGGTGGATCTCAAGGCGTACGTGGGCGTTTACGAGAGAGGGGAGAAGATTCCCTTCGACGACGCAATTCCCTTCTCCCTGAGCTGATCTGCATCCCGTCTGTTTTGGGTGTTGGCGGAACTTTGATGGGGGACGTCGCTTGTAATCTCGTTGCCGTTGGTACAACACGCGAGGAGTTAGCCGAGGGTCTCCTTAGACCTACAACGGCAGCAGTGTCCATAACCATGTCGGTTCCTAGGCATGGAGTGATGTCTCGCAGGATGAGTAATGTTATTTTCAGCTCCATCTAGCGTCTCCCTAACACTTGGCACCACTATTGTTTGCTCCTGTCAACATGTATTCGGCGCTCACTGTTTTGTGGTCGCTGTGGATGGATTGATTGATCACATGCATGTTCTTCTCGTCCTCTCGTCCAGGCGCACCACAGCCAGGTCAGCCGCCACTGAAAGAACAGAAACGACCCTATTCGCAGTAATTGCTGGATCTCGCAGTAGTTTTTGGGTCAACCCGCCGCTTGTGACGACGTCGTGACGTTTCATCCCGCCCACGCGAAAGTCGAACTCTGGTTCTGATCCAGCCGATCCTCGTCGGGGGGGGGGGGGGAAGGCGGCCCAACAGACCAACAGGAGACAGATGCGGTCAGGCTTTCCCGTGCAGGAACGATGTATCCAAGCACGCGACTTTGAGCGCAAAGAGGACGATGGGTTTAAATCATACGTTCTCACAAAGGGATCCGACTCAGGAGCTGCTGGCTGCGTGAAAGGCTAACACCAGCCTACCGCGCGCTTGGCCTCCTCGCTGGGAAACGAAAGCCAACACTATCGGTACTGTACAAGCAACGCGGCCAAACGTAGCCAGCCGTTACGTGGATGCAAAAACAAAGCGTGTCTTCGTCTAATCTCTCGAAAAAATAAAAATAAAGCTTTGATTAGCTCCCTCCCTTCTTCCCCCCTTCCCCGGAAAACGTGTAAAGTCCTACCCCGCGTTATCCAAACCACAACGACCAACAACACGAAACGGACAAAAAAATGACACCAGGAGATCGATCACCAATCTAACCACGATCCCACCTAACAACGACTACTAGCGCGACCCCGCATCAAGCCCGACATCTTTCCGCGAGAATAAAGCACGACAACATCGCACACACAAACGACACAACAAACCCAGGGCGGTAGACGAAGAGCACGTTTCATGTCAGGTTCCATCCGAAGCAAGCTCTTCCAGTGCCAACCTTACTGAGTCCCGCACTAAACGAACGCCATGTCAAACCGGCACTTGGGGGACCAACTCTGCCGCTGCCGTGTGTGTATCCGGATCGAGACATCGGTAGAAACCTTCATCTTGTATTGAAGGAAAAAGAAAAAAAGAAAGAACTCCCGTAGATCAGAATCTCCGAAACAGCGCGCTTCCGACTGAATGATCTCCGCAATATACGAACCGCTCCATGCATGGGCCTTCACAAGACTCCACATTGAGGGGAAAGCATGAGCGGCTACCAACAGAAGTCCTAACCCGTGGTTAGAGATAGGCCGCGTCGTACGCACCCACCTCCGTCCACCTGTACACAATCACCGACATTCCGACGAGCTCTACCTAGCAGGGTGTCGAGGCCAACCAACGTGAGATCGGGCTCCTCAGGCATTTCATATCCAGCTGATTCGGACGCTCTGATCCCGAACGCGAGATACAGATTGGGATGTCGACTTCTAACGTGTTCTCTCTCCTTCAACAAGCTGAAAAACAGGCGCGCCAAGCAACATCAGGCCTGTTCTGTAAGAGTCGTGTCGATGTACGAAAGCTTCACATTAGGTGCTGCTGGTTCTCACGAGCCCCCCCCCCCCCCCCCCCCCCCCCCCCCCCCCCCCCCCCCCCCCCCCCCCCCCCCCCCCCCCCCCNCGCCCATGAGGCGAACGTGATGTGTGGCATCTGGATCAGACAAGAGGCTCGTCCACCACACAGCCCGAAACACCAACAGCTCGATGGGGGCGTGAGATCGATCGCTGCATGCAAGCACGTGCACGGCTAAAGAACAGCACGAACAGCCTGACGATTTATCTCCTCGTGTTTGGGCAAAAAACACGGAATTATTTATTGCGTTCCATGAAAGAGAAACCGCTTCGACTGCTGTGATTTGATCTGGTTTTATGTCGAACGGGCCGTCTTCTTGATTTAGGTATATTTCGTAAAAATGAACCCCCCCTGAACTTTACTGATTTCTAAAAACCCTAACCAAGTGAGAGGTCAAAAATGGGTCTTAAACAAACCGCCTGGACTGATTAAGCCTACAGACGATTTAGGCGTTTGAACCGCCTGGACAAGCCTGTCGAGACGACTTAGATCCCCACGAGGTCTGAGCTGATTTGCCAGAGCTTTTCGCATCGCGCCTCGTCCATGGCCTCGTCGGAGACCACGTTTTCCCTCGCGGTCGCCTCGGCGTCCTGTCCGTTCCACCGCCAGTACGTGCCGGAAGAGGAGAACTTGTCCGAGGATACCACGTCCGCCACGCGGCGTCCGGCCTCCTGCGGACGACAAGAAACAAAAAGTGCCGACGAAACAAAAAAAGAAGCGACGGACAAGGAAGGAGAGAGAATCGCGGACGCCACCGGCGATGACCCTCTCGCCAGTGGTATTGAATGGAGCGAGACCGCACGCGGAACGGATCGAAAAATGCACAGAGGCATACCTAACCAGTGGACGGATCGAAGTCTAGCCAAGATACCAGCCGCGAAGAACAGCCCCACGCGTTTATTTGAAAATACCTTATTTTTGGCGAGTTAGCCTGTGACCACGGGATTCGGCCGTGTCAAGTGTTAGACCAGTACGGACAGGTGGAGGTACTGGGCAGAGAGATCGGAATGGTTTTAATGTTCGGCGCAAGTTTTGTCCCGCCTTGGGGCGTGCGTGAGGCACTCCCACTTCCTTCTTCTCTTCACTTCTTCCTTTCGATACAACGGCACCACACGGTAAGCAGGCTCTTGCGCGAGCGAGCAACTGCCGTTCCGGCCAGTGTCTCGCCAAAACCGCTTCATTCCCATGGTTTTTGCTGTCGGTTTCCGTGTCAGCGTTTGCTGTTGTGCTGCCCAAGAAAAAACAAAACACACATGGCGACGGTACCGAAGAACCCCCCCCCCCCCCCCCCCCCCCCCCCCCCCCCCCCCCCCCCCCCCCCCCCCCCCCC